CTTGATTTAATTAATTGAATATATATATATATTTTATTGTATTATTTTGGTCGAAATAACGCGTCATTTTGCTTGGCTTTGTGTTCTCAATTTCTTTCGTAGTAATATAAAAAAAGTCTTTGCATGATGTCGTGTATACATGTGCTTTTTTTTGTTATGATTCGAAATTTTTCGTGATAATTCATAGACAAGACTATAAATTTTGCTACATGAATATAATAATCTTTATTAACCTATCATCTATCATATTATCTATCATATTATCTATTAACAGGTGATTTCTTACTTTCATTCCTTCACAATTGAAAAAAATATATATATTCCCTCAAGACTAAATCTGTCTTTCAAGAACTCTTAAAACGGTTAACACCGAGAAATATTTCCAAATTATATTTTCTATTTAATATTAACAGGGAATTATTTACAAAAATATCTTTGTACATATTTATACATATTGTTTGAATACTACCACATGTTCATTGTCATTGGTTGACCTATGACAATTTCCTTGCCGGCTTTCAAGGCTTAACGGTTAATTTTTTTATTTTTTTTTCATTGTTTAGCTTTTTTCTTTACCTTTCTCTCCCTCTCCTTAACCCTCGACTAAACCTTTCATTATCATTATATTCGAATATTTTTTAGTTATACCTATATTATTTATAGAATTTGGCAGAAATTTATTTTTATATATATTTCTTACTGGACTTGATGTATAATATAAACTATGACTCGAGCAAGTGATTTAACATATTTATGTAAGTCTTTTTTTTGACAATCGAATTTTTCTTTAAGAAAGAAAGAAAGAAAGAAAGAAAGAAATCTTTTCAACTTACATTATATAAAAATTGTTATTATTATTCTTTTCTTTATAGTTCGTTCAGTATTTGTTACATGGACATTTGCCTGGTTTCTTCAGCATGTATGGACCATTGATCGATTTGAAGCATTACGATGGCGACGTGTTAAAAGGTTCGAATTGGTATGTTAACTTTCTTATTTCTTTGATGAATTGTATATAACTAATTAAAATTTACGAAATTAATTCTTTAAATTATATGTATATAATAATTATAATTATAATAATTTAATAGAAATCTGCAATCACAATATTACTTTGTGTCATGTGTCCGTTACAAGCAACCTACGATATTGTTACTTCAAAAATAAAGTACACTGAAGGTTTCATGGTGATCCCATATAATGGCGAAATCATTACAAAACCAGAGGAATATTGGAGTGATGATGATAAACGATTAGTTACACCTATCAATTACGTTCTCTGTGCCAATTTTAGCGCTCAAACGTGAATATTAATTTCTTCCTCAAAATATAAATGCTAATATAAACTAACTAGCTAGCTAATCTAAATCTAATCTATATCAATTGATATCGTTTTAAGGTGCTTATTATTCTTACTTCAATCCTTTTGGAATTATCTTGCAAATAATATAGCAAAAACAACTTTTATGGGTAGTTTTGGTATGTTCTATATACAACTTTCTCCGATAAGATTCTTTTATTTCTCATTTTTTTTTTATCTTAATTATATAATAGAATTCAAATCATATATAACATACTCCGTATTCAGTATGGTCTTATTTCCATTACTACAATGGCTATTTCGTTCTAATACTTTATACACTGAAGTAGTTCCTCAGTTTGCTTATGGTATAATTTTGTTCATAATCGCTTTATTGGGTGTAAGATCCCATTGGAGATTTACAAAATTATTGAGAATTACTAGGAGCGCTAATTCTTCTCAATTAAGTATTGTATTAAAATTAGAATATTTTAAGGTAATGTATAAAATATAATAATATATAATAATATATATATAATATTATATAATAATAATTATCAAATTTTATATAATATAGGAAATGAACCGATATTTAACTTGGGGTCTTTTTATTGGTTCTACAGCAATGATAATTTTATGTGTTGATGCTTTCACTCCACAAAAATATCTCAACTCTCATAAATTTTCTATGGATCTTTTAATCTGCCATCTAAATTTTACTATTTGGATAGTATTTGTTACCTTAATTCTAATTTTTTATCCTTCATCAAATACTCTCAATGATACTTTAACTATGTCAAAAGGTATAGCTTCTACATTAACCGTTCAATCAAAAGGTAATTTATTGGGTCCTCCAAATCGTAGATGGTCGTCAAAATATAATCAAAATAATGAAGATAGCTCTTGGTCTTCACAAGGTTCTTCAAGGCATGATCGTACAAGTTTGTACTTGGAAGTTCATGACGATTCTTCTGCTCGAAATAATCAAAATAGATCTTCAAGACCAACTTCTGTAACCTTTGATATACCACCATTACCTTCTTCTGTACCATTTGATCCAAACGCTCCCCCATCTGTTTATAAAAAATCTTCTGTGTCCCGTGATTCGGGAACTTCTTCTCCGTTTTATTTTACATCAAATACTCTATTACCAAGTCCAACCTATCCACCTTCAACCTTATCAACTACACAACCATCTTCCACAAATCTGCCATCATCTAGTGTTACCCCTGAACATACAAACAATTCAAATAACAACAACAACAGACGTTCACTTAATTTTTCAAAACCTTTACCTGCTGAATCATTAAAATATCCATCATCTCCTCTAACAAAAATAAATAGAAATAGCTTATCTTCATTAACATCGACAGAAAATCAAATACCTACTGGAAATGGTTCAGCATCACATAACGATAATCAAGATATTTCTCCATTAGTTTCTTCACAATTAACTCGTAAAGATTCTTCTAATAATTCATCAAATTCCAATGACGATAATAACGATGATGATGATTTCGAATTTATTTCTCGAAAGAATGCAAGAATGTCAATAATATCAAATAATGATAAACCAATAATTAAAGTTACTACTTCAACAACTTCATTTAAATTATCAACAAATCTTACTAATAATGAAGAAAGTGATACTGATGATAATAATAACAATTATAATAAGATTACGAAATTTGGAAAATCATTTATAAATAATAATATTATTATTAATGAAAAGAAAAAGAAAAAAGTTACTTTAATGGATAGTGATCAAAGACCGTCAGTAAGATTTCAACAAAGACAAGAAGAACTTTTAAAGCAAAAACAAAAATCATTAACTTTAATAATTGGTGATAATGAAAATAATAATGATATTAAATTATCAACAAAAAATCAAGTTAATGAATTTTATGATGAT